GGTCCCGCGGCCCCGTTGCCCTAGGCCCCCGGCCCCTCGCCCCCCCCCCTTCTCACTTGGCCCCGCGGCCCCGTCGCCCCTAGGCCCCCGGCCCCTCGCCCCCCCCCCCCCCCCCCCCTCCCCCTTCTCACTTGGCCCCGCGGACCCGTCGCCCCTAGGCCCCCGGCCCCTCGGCCCTCTACTATCCTGGCCCCGCGGCCCCGTTGCCCTAGGCCCCCGGACCCTCGCCCCCCCCCCCCCCCCCCCTTCTCACGTGGCCCCGTGGCCCCTAGGCCCCCGGCCCCTCGCCCCCCCCCCTCCCCCCCCCCCCCTTCTCACTTGGCCCCGCGGCCCCGTCGCCCCAAGGCCCCCGGCCCCTCGGCCCTCTTCTCTCCTGGCCCGGCGGCCCCGTCGCTCTTGGCCCCTCGGCCCCTTCTCTTCTGGCCCCGCAGCCCCGTCGCCCTAGGCCCCCAGCCCCTCAGCCCCCCCTTCTCACTTGGCCCCGCGGCCCGACGCCCCTAGGCCCCCGGCCCCTACGCCCCTTCTCTCCTGGCCCTGCGGCCCCGTCGCCCCTAGGCCCTCGGCCCCTAGGCCCCTCGGCCCCTCGGCCCTTTCGACCTCGGCCCCTCGGCCCCTAGGCCCCACGCCCCTCGGCCCCTGCTCCTGCTACTGCTGCTACTGCTACTGCGGCTACTGCTGCTACTACTGCTGTTACTGCTGCTACTGCTACCACTGCCGCCCCTCTCGCACCCCCTGCCGCCCCGCATGCCACCTAGCTTGACCGCTATGACTTCTCTTCGGTGTAGCGGTGGGGGTGGTGACGACAGTGGTGGCAGCAGTGGGAGTGGTGGCGGCCATCCTAGCAGTCGCTGTGGAGCTGCTCCGTGGGGAGTTTCTGGCGGTGGCCAGATGCGGCTGCAGCAATATCAGCGCGAGTCCCTTCCACCCCAGCAGCTACATGAGTGGTCCACTAGTAGGGGTGGTGGCGGCGGCAATAGTGGAGGTCGCTCTGCAGCTGTTCAGTTGGGAGTTCCTGGCGGTGGCCTGACGACACTGCAGCGGCATCCGCGCGAGACCCTTTCGCCTCAGCAACTTCGTGAGTGGTACGTTCAGCGTGGGGCGTCTCGGAGTAGTGCTCGCTGCCCGTACGCCATTCGCACAGGTGACCGGGCTGGTCAGACTTGCGGGACAGTTGGTCACACACATTCTCGCTGCTTCTCCTGTCTGAGCGACACTTGGCTTGCAGAGTTTCGCGACGCGGCTGCACTTCCTCGCTGGCTCGAGCTGGTTAGGCAGGGTGTGGATATCCTTGCTCTAGACTATGATGCTATTCTCACTACTAAGTATGCTTTGTCTGCTAGTGCTAAGGGTGACTGTTACCGGTGTGTGCCATCTGACCCAGGTATAGCGGCTGCTGCTCTACATGCTAGTGAGGCTGGTACTCTCCCTGGTACTGCGCCTGCTGAGGCCTTGCACACCTTCACATTGGACTCCGGCGCCTCTGCTTGTTTCTTTCGTGACAGCACCACCCTCACTCCTCTCCCTGCACCTGTCCCGGTCAGACTGGCTGACCCCTACGGGGGCCCGGTCGTGGCCCGTTCCTCCACTGTCCTCCCGTGCCCGGCGGTTCCGTCCGGCTCACTGTCAGGTCTTCACCTCCCCTCGTTCTCTACGAACTTGGTGAGTACCGCTGCCCTCCAAGATGCGATGGTCACTACTACCACTCCTGGGGGTCAGCGTGTGTCGATCTGCACGTGCACACCGATGGGGCGTCACCTGGCCACGTTCACTCGTCGGCCAGGGTCGAGTCTGTACACACTGGCTACCGAGCCTCCTCAGATAGCTGCGTCAGCTCAGGTGTCCGCGTCAGGTCAGGTAGCCGCCTCTTGCTCGTGTCGCCTCCTGTCGCATCAGACTCTTCTGTGGCACCACCGCCTGGGTCACCCCTCCCTGCCACGCCTTCGCGGCATGCACTCCCGTCTTCTTGTCTCTAGTCTACCCAGGTCTCTGCCTCCCCTGCCGCCCTCGCCTGCCCCGCCCTTCCTTCCTTGTGTCGAGGGGCGGCAGCGCGCCGCTCCTCACTCCTCCTCGTTTCCCCCGACGACGGCTCCCCTGCAGACTCTCCACATGGACGTGTGGGGCCCAGCCCGCATCAGTGGACAGGGCCGCGAGCGCTACTTTCTGCTGGTAGTTCATGAATACACGCGGTACACCACGATCTTCCCCTTGGGTAGCAAGGGTCAGATCGTTGATGTCTTGATCCCCTGGATCCGCACAGTTCGTCTCCAGCTCCGCGAGCGGTTCGGCCAGGACCTTTCTGTCCTGCGTCTGCACTCTGACAGAGGTGGTGAGTTCTCCTCCAACCTCTTGCGGGACTTTTGTCGTGGGGAGGGCATTCTCCAGTCGTTCACGCTTCCGGACTCCCCTCAGAAAAATGGGATTGCTGAGCGCCGCATTGGCTTAGTCATGGAGGTCGCTCGTACCTCCATGATCCATGCGGCTGCTCCCCATTTTCTGTGGCCGTTTGCGGTCCGGTACGCTGCGCATCAGCTCAACCTCTGGCCCCGTGTCTCCTTACCGGAGACCTCGCCCACACTGCGTTGGACGAGGAAGGTTGGCGATGCGTCAGTGTTCCGGGTCTGGGGTTCTCGTGCCTTTGTCCGCGGACAAGCTCTCCGCCCGTGCTATCCCATGCATCTTCCTTGGCTTTGTCCCTGACGCGCCTGGCTGGCAGTTTTACCACCCCACCTCACACCGTGTCTTCCCTTCTCAGGTTGTCACGTTTGACGAGTCGGTTCCCTTTTACTGTCTCTTCCCCTACCGCTCTGCCCCTCCCCCGCTCCCGCCGCTCTTCCTTGCTCCGGGTCCACCTCCGGTAGACCCCCTCCCGCCCCAGGGTCCTGCTCCGTTGGGTGTGTCTCAGGTAGACCCTCTCCCTGGTCCTGCGCTTGTTGAGGTAGCTGTCGGCTCAGGTGCTGCTCGAGGTGCTGCATCTGGGGTTGCTGCGTCTAGGGGGGCGGAGCCGGGGGGTGCGGAGTCTGAGGGTGCTGGGTGTGGGGGTGCTGAGCCTGTGGATGTGGGGCCTGGGGGTGCTGAGCCTGAGGGTGTTGAGCCTGGGGGTGCTGAGTCGGAGGGTGCGGAGTCTGGGGGTGCTGAGCCTCGGGGTGCTGCTTCGTCTGGAGGTCCTGCTGGTGCTTCGCCGCGACTGTCTCCGCAGCAGCTGCGTGAGTGGTTTTTTCGGCGCGCACGTCTTCAGAGTGGAGCTACCGTAGCAGGAGGCGCTGGAGACGCTGGAGCTGGAGGTGCTAGCGTTACTGCTGGAGCTGGTGATACTAAAGGTACTACGGCTGCTTGTCTTGGAGGTGCTCGTACTAGGGGTACTGGAGCTGCCGGGAATGGTGGTGTTGAGGGCGCTGGAGCTGGAGACCCTACGGTGACTGGAGCTGCTGGAGCTGGAGGCCCTGGCGCTGGTGGTGCTGGAGCTGGAGGCACTGGAGCTGTGGGAGCTAGAGCTGTTGACCCTGGAGCTGGAGGTGCTGGAGACATTGTGCGGCCGCGACCATACTTCGTTCCCCTGCTTCAGCAGGTTCTTAGTGTCCCGTCTTCTCCTATGAGGGGAGGAGTAAGGCTAGGAGAAGACGGGACACCCGGGACAGAGCACAGCGCACCATCACACTGACTCAGTCACACATGGTGCACCAGGTCCTTCGGTGCTTCGGCTTCCAGTTCTCCTCGCCACATCCCACTCCTCTGTCTACCGGCCACTCCCCCTCAGCTCCACCTTCGGATGAGTCCGTAGAGCCGAGTGATCCATGCCCAGAGCTTGTGGGTTGCCTCATGTACCTAATGATGTGCACTCAACCTGACCTCGCGTACCCTCTCAGCCTTCTGGCTCGCTACGTGGCTCCCGGTAGGCACCGAAAGGTGCAGTGGGATGCTGCAAAGACGGTACAACGTTACTTGTGCAGTACGTCGGGCATGGGGCTCGTGCTTGAAGGACGGGGTCCAGTTGTCCTCACTGGTCACGCAAACGCTTCTTGGGCTGACGACTCAGCTACGCTGCGGTCGTCACAGGGTTACACCTTCAGCCTCGGTTCCGGCTCTATTTCCTGGCGGTCTACCCGCTCGTCTTCGGTTCTCAGCTCCAGTTGTGAGGCTGAGATCTACGCAGGGGCCATGGCTGCACAGGAGCTACGCTGGCTCACCTACCTGCTGACTGACTTGGGAGAGCAGCCTCGTTTGCCTCCAGTTCTGTACGTAGACAACAAGGCCATGATTGCCTTGTGTCAGGAGCACAGACTGGAGCACAGAACGAAGCACATCGCTCTGCTCGAGAGTTGCAGCACCGTGGCCAGCTTGTTATGTTACTCTAGTCTGCAGTGGGGTACTCTATAGTGAGTACAGCCCTGTTAGGGTTTGCTATATGTATCCCAATGTTTGCTAGTAAATTCCCTCATTCTCCTTCTCGACTCTCGACACTCAACTCTCTCGACATTCAATGCTTAGCTTCCTCCCTAGCCATGGTTCCTAAGTCAAGCTACGATTCTAACATGGTATTAAGAGCAATAATTTCTAGGACCTAACATCAACGGGCCCACCACCTAATGCCCTGCTAGCCTAGGCCCCGGCCCGTCGCCCCTTGGCGTCGCCCCTAGCCCCAAGGCTCGGCCTCTTGGCCCCGTCGCCCCTAGCTCGGCCCCTCGGCCCCGCTGGCCCCGTCGATTCCGTCGCCCGCGCCCGGCCCGTACCTAGCCCGCGATCGGCCCGTTCCTAGCCCCGCGCCCGGCCCGTACCTAGCCCGCGACAGGCCCGTACCTAGCCCGCGCCCGGCCACGTCTTACGCCTACGCCCGGCCCCGTCTCTCGCTCGCGCCCGGCCCGTACCTAGCCCCGCAAACGGCCCCGTCCCTCGCCAGCGCCCGGCCCCGTACCTCGCCCGCGACCGGCCCGTTCCTAGCCCCGCGCCCGGCCCGTACCTAGCCCGCGCCCGGCCCCGTCTGTCGCCAGCGCCTGGCCCCGTACCTAGCCCGTGCCCGGCCCCGTTCCTGCCCAGCGCCCGGCCCCGTACCTGCCCAGCGCCCGGCCCCTAACCTGCCCAACGCCCGGCCCTGTACCTGCCCAGCGCCCGGCCCTGTACCTGCCCAGCGGTCGGCCCCGTACCTGCCCAGCGCCCGGCCCTGTACCTGCCCAGCGCCCTGCCCCATACCTGCCCAGAGCCCGGCCCGGTACCTGCCCAGCGCCCGGCCCCGTGCCTGCCCAGCGCCCAGCCCCGTACCTGCCCAGCGACCGGCCCCGTACCTGCCCAGCGCCCGGCCCCGTACCTGCCCAGCGCCCGGCCCTGTACCTGCCCAGAGCCCGGCCCCGTACCTGCCCAGCGCCTGGCCCCGAACCTGCCCAGCGCCCGGCCCCGTACCTGCCCAGCGCCCGGCCCCGTACCTGCCCAGCGCCCGGCACGGTACCTGCCCAGCGCCCGGCCCCGTACCTGCCCAGCGCCCGGCCCCGTACCTGCCCAGCGCCCGGCCCCGAACCTACCCAGCGCCCGGCCCCGTACCTGCCCAGCGCCCGGCCCCGTACCTGCCCAGCGCCCGGCCCCGTACCTGCCCAGCGCCCGGCCCCGTACCTGACCAGCGCCCGGCCCCGTACCTGCCCAGCGCCCGGCCCTGTACCTGCCCAGCGCCCTGCCCCATACCTGCCCAGAGCCCGTCCCGGTACCTGCCCAGCGCCCGGCCCCGTGCCTGCCCAGCGCCCAGCCCCGTACCTGCCCAGCGACCGGCCCCGTACCTGCCCAGCGCCCGGCCCCGTACCTGCCCAGAGCCCGGCCCTGTACCTGCCCAGAGCCCGGCCCCGTACCTGCCCAGCGCCTGGCCCCGAACCTGCCCAGCGCCCGGCCCCGTACCTGCCCAGCGCCCGGCCCCGTACCTGCCCAGCGCCCGGCCCGGTACCTGCCCAGCGCCCGGCCCCGTACCTGCCCAGCGCCCGGCCCCGTACCTGCCCAGCGCCCGGCCCCGAACCTACCCAGCGCCCGGCCCCATACCTGCCCAGCGCCCGGCCCCGTACCTGCCCAGCGCCCGGCCCCGTACCTGCCCAGCGCCCGGCCCCGTACCTGACCAGCGCCCGGCCCCTTACCTGCCCAGCGCCCAGCCCCGTACCTGCCCAGCGCCCGGCCACGTACCTGCCCAGCGCCCGGCCCCGTACCTGCCCAGCGCCCGGCCCCTTACCTGCCCAGCGCCCGGCCCCGTCCCTGCCCAGCGCCCGGCCCCGTACCTGCCCAGCGCCCGGCCCCGTACCTCCCCAGCGCCCGGCCCCGTTCCTGCCCAGTGCCCGGCCCCGTACCTGCCCAGCGCCCGGCCCCGTACCTGCCCAGCGTCCGGCCCCGTACCTGCCCAACGCCCGGCCCCGTACCTGCCCAGCACCCGGCCCCGTCCCTAGCCCAGCACCCGGCCCCGTACCTGCCCAGCGCCCAGCCCCGTCCCTAGCCATGGCCCCGTCGCCCTTAGCCATGGCCCCTCGCGCCCTGCCGCCCCTAACCGCGGCCCCGGTGCCCTGTTGCAACATGGTGGGTGAGGGGGTGGCAAGAGGGGGTTCCTCCTGCCCGCGTGCCCTACAGTCGCACGCGCAGCTCCGCCCCCGCCCCCCTCCCCCCCCTCCCCCCCCTCCATGGGGATGGCGGGGAGAGGGTGTGAGGGGGTGGCGGATGTGCCTCAGCAACAGCAGCTGCCGCCACGCCTCCTCCTCTCTCTCCCTGCCGCACCTTGTGTTGGGAGAGGGGGGGGAGCTTGGAGGTTCAGGGGGAGGCAGGAGGGGATCTGCAGCACCAGGCCCCCCACCCTTCTCCTACCTCCCCCTGCTGCGGGTGCAGCAGAAGGGGGGAGGGGATCTGCAGCACCGACCCCCCCCCCCCCCCCCCTCCCCGCCGCCCCCCCTCATCCTTCTCCTACCTCCCCCTGCTGCGGGTGCAGCAGTGGGGGGGAAGCGATCTGCCATCCCCCTGCTGCGGATGCGGCAGTGGGGGGAGGGGACCTGCAGCACCAGCCCCCCCCCCCCCGCCCCCCCCTTCTCCTCCATCTCTCTGCTGCGGGTGCAGCAGTGGGGGGGAGGGTATGGGGGTGGCGGGTGTGGCCAACCTGCTGTCGCCCGAGTGGCTCCTGCACCGCGCCCCCCCCCCCCCCCCCCCCCCCCCCCCCCCCTGCCCCCCCCCCCCTTTCTCCTCCATCCCCCTGCTGCGGGTGCGGCAGTGGGGGGAGGGGATCTGCAGCTCCAGCCCCCCCCCGCCCCCCCTTCTCCTCCGTCTCTCTGCTGCGAGTGCAGCAGTGGGGGGGAGGGTATGAGGGTGGCGGGTGTGGCCAACCTGCTGTCGCCCAAGCGGCTCCTGCACCGCCCCTTCTCCTACCTCCCCCCTGCTGCGGGTGCAGCAGTGTGGGGAGGGGATCTGCAGCACCAGCCCCCCCCCCCCCCCCCCACCCCCCCCCCCCTTCTCCTACCTCCCCCTGCTGCGGGTGCAGCAGTGGGGGGAGGGGATCTGCAGCACCAGCCCCCCCCCCCCCCCCTTCTCCTCCATCCCCTGCTGCGGGTGCAGCAGTGGGGGGAGGGTATGGGGGTGGCGGGTGTGGGTGCAACTGCGGAGTGGCGGGTATGGGGGTGGCGGGTGTGTGTACCGTCCCCTGCTCCTCCTCCTCCTCCATCTCCCACTGCTGCAGCTGCCGCTGAGGGGGGTGGGTGTGTGGGAGCCGAGGGAGTGGTGCTAGGGGGGTAATGTGGGAGTGAAGCTAGGGGTGCAGCAGGGGGTGTGAACGGGAGTTTTGGGACAGTTAGGGGGAGGTTGGGCGGAGGCAGCCGTTGTGTAGCCAGCAGCGCCAGTAGTCCGGAGGCTACAATCTCCGGTAGCCCAGCGAGCCTGCTGCACCAGTCGCCCGTGGGTCCGTTGCTCCTGCCGCTCAGAGTTAGCCGCGGAGCCAGTTACTCCAGTAGTCCGGAGGCTACAATCTCCAGTAGCCACAGTGCGCGCCGCTCCTGTTGCCCGTGTATCTGCGGCTTCACCCGTCGCCTCCTATCTCCTCTCCTCTCACAGTCCCTCCTCCTCCTCACTTACCGTCTGTGACTGCCTCTAGCTTTGCTTATATTTGTGAACTATAAATTGCTGCTTGTTGTGCTGATCATACCCCACTTTGACTATGGGGGTGTGTCAGAATGTTATGTTACTCTAGTCTGCAGTGGGGTACTCTATAGTGAGTACAGCCCTGTTAGGGTTTGCTATATGTATCCCAATGTTTGCTAGTGAATTCCCTCATTCTCCTTCTCGACTCTCAACACTCAACTCTCTCAACATTCAATGCTTAGCTTCCTCCCTAGCCACGGTTCCTAAGTCAAGCTACGATTCTAACAGCCGTATCACCCCGGACATAATCGCACCTGCGCTTATACTAAAACATGAATTTTCAGGGGGGGTGCGCTTATAATTGAGTAAAAAATATAAGCGCATGTGCTTATAAAATAACAAATATTCAATTTCAAACTACTACCACAACAATGTGGTTCGCGTCATGGCGCACCCTATCGAGTCGATTTGAAACAGGGTTGTGGGTGAAAAACTCTCGCTGTTTAGCAAGGAAATATTCCCTGCCAGCACAAACACTCAAAATTGTCATAATCCCAACCACTAGACCGTTAGGATAAAATGGCTTGTTAAGTAGCCGGTCAGTGTGCCCATAAACCCCCAGGCCAACATGCCTGTAACCCTTCCCTAGAATCAATGGGATGTCAAACTCATATATAGCTTACATTGTGTAGGCTGTAGTGGGGTAGTCCATAAGGGGTACAACCCAATTAGGGTTAGTACTTGTACCCAACTCTTTGCTAGTTCATTCATTCTCGTTCGTTATTTTGAAATGGAATCAGAGCAGGTTCCTTGAGCCCACCACCTGCTACGCTGCTAGTACCCCCCCTAGGCCCGTCGCCCCTAGGCCCGTCGACCCTAGCCCGCGCCCGGCCCCGTTCCTAGCCCGCGCCCGGCCCCGTTCCTAGCCCAACGCCCGGCCCCGTACCTAGCCCGCACCCGGCCCCGTCCCTAGCCCGCGCCCGGCCCCGTACCTAGCCCGCGCCCGGCCCCGTACCTAGCCCCGCGCCCGGCCCCGTCCCTAGCCCAGCGCCCGGCCCCGTACCTAGCCCGCGCCCGGCCCCGTACCTAGCCCGCGCCCGGCCCCGTCCCTAGCCCAGCGCCCGGCCCCGTACCTAGCCCGCGCCCGGCCCCGTACCTAGCCCGCGCCCGGCCCCGTACCTAGCCCGCACCTGGCCCCGTCCCTAGCCCAGCGCCCGGCCCCGTACCTAGCCCGCGCCCGGCCCCGTACCTAGCCCGCGCCTGGCCCCGTCCCTAGTTTGCGCCCGGCCCCGTCCCTAGCCCGCGCCCGGCCCCGTACCCAGCCCGCGCCCGGCCCCGTACCTAGCCCGCGCCCGGCCCCGTACCTAGCCCGTGCCCGACCCCGTCCATAGCCCAGCGCCCGGCCCCGTACCTAGCCCGCGCCCGGCCCCGTACCTAGCCCCGCGCCCGGCCCCGTCCCTAGCCCAGCGCCCGGCCCCGTACCTAGCCCGCGCCCGGCCCCGTACCTAGCCCGCGCCCGGCCCAGTCCCTAGCACGCGCCCAGCGCCCGGCCCCGTACCTAGCCCTGCGCCCGGCCCCGTCCGTAGCCCAGCGTCTGGCCCCGTAACTAGCCCGCACCAGGCCCCGTACCTAGCCCGCGCCCTTCCATGTCCCTAGCCTACGCCCGGCCTCCCCACAACAACCTCTAGCCCGCGCCCGGCCCCCACGTCTGCTCCTAGCCCGCGCCCGGCCCCCTGTCGACCCTCAGCCCCGCGCCCGGCCCCGTCGGCCCCTTGCCCGACAGTCACTGCTGCTACTGCTACAGCTGCTGCTGCTGCTGCTACTGCTGCTGCTACTACTACTAGTGCTATCCTGCGTGCTGCACAGCTATGGCTTCGCTTCGGTTTCTCGCGTTTGATCATGAGGGCAGACCGGTTCAGTTTGACACGTGGCTAGACGACCTGCAGCTTTACCTACTGAGCGATTCTAAGGACAGTGTCTCGCTGTTTGACCTAGCGTCAGGCGCTGCTACTGCCCCTCCCGCCACAGCTGACAGTTCGACTCGCTCACAGTGGCATACTCGTGACGCTGCTGCCCGCTTAGCCATTCGCAACCACAGCACAGGACAACGCAGGCACTGTACGACACGGTAGTCGCTCGCTACTCCTCCCCTGCCACTGCTGCTCTAGGCCGCCTTCTTCTGCCCTACCTGTTCCCCGAGGTGTCCGCCTTTGCCACACTCGAGGACCTGGTTTCCCACCTTCACGCTAGTGACGCTCGCTACCGCGCTGCCGTTCCTGCTGAGTTCCTTGACAGGAACCCGCCCCCGATGTACATCACTCTCTACTTTATAGTCACCCGCCTCCCTGACCCTCTTCGCTCTATCAGGGACCACTTTCTCTCTCTTGACCCCACCTCCCTCACTGTTGACCTCCTCGAGCAGCATCTCCTCGCAGCTGAGACTAGTGCAGTTGCTGTAGGTGCTGCTCGTGGCACTCCGCGCCCGCCCTTCTTTGAGGGGTGTTCCCCCTCCCCCCTTGCCCCCTCCTACGCCTCTGCTGCTGCTGCAGACGTCTCTGTTCCTGAGGACGTCGGGGCTGCTTCTGCTAGTCACCCTTCGCCGCAGCAGCAAGGGCAAGGGTGTCCGGGGTGGTGGAGGTGGCAGCGGCGGTGGTGGAGGTGGCAGCGGGAGTGGTGGTGGGGGTAGCAGTGGAGGTGGTGGCGGCGGTGGGGCTGTTGGCGGGAGTGGGGGCTCTGGTGGCGGTGGTGGAGGCAGCGGTGGGAGTGGCGGCAGTGGAGGCGGTGGGACTGGTAGCGGTGGGACTGGTGCTCGGCGTGTCGGTTCTGGGGGTGGCCAGCGTCAGCAGCAGCAGCGTCGGAGCGAGACCCCGTCTCCCCAGAAGCTTCGTGAGTGGTTTCTGCATGGGGCGTCTGGGGGTAGTTGCCCGTATGTCATTCGCACGAGTGACCGTGCTGGTCAGACTTGCGGGCGGCTCCACACTCAGCACCGCTGCTTCTCCCGCCTCGACAACGCTTGGCGCGCTGAGTTTGGTGACGACGTCGAGCTCCCTCGATGGGCAGATCTACTTAAGTCTAGGATTGCTATCTTTGACCTAGACTTTGATGCTATTCTTTCTGCTATGTATGCTTTGTCTGTTAGTTCTGAGGGTGACTGTTACCGGTGTGTGCCGCCTGACCCAGGTATAGCCGCTGCTGCTCTAGGTGCTAGTGAGTCTGGTATTCTCCCTGGTACTGCACCTGCTGATGCCTTCCACACTTTCACGTTGGACTCCGGCGCCTCTCACTGTTTCCTTCGTGAGAGCACCACCCTCACTCCTCTTCCTGCACCTGTCCCGGTCAGACTGGCTGACCCCTCTGGGGGACCGGTCGTGGCCCGTTCCTCCACTGTCCTCCCGTGACCGGCAGTTCCGTCCGGCTCACTGTCAGGTCTTCACCTCCCCTCGTTCTCTACGAACTTGGTGAGTACCGCTGCCCTCCAGGATGCGATGGTCACTACCACCACTCCTGGGGGTCAGCGTGTGTCGATCTGCACGTGCACACGGATGGGACGTCACCTGGCCACGTTCACTTGTTGGCCGGGGTCGAGTCTGTACACACTCGCTACGGAGCCTTCTCAGGTAGCTGCGTCTGCTCAGGTGTCCGCGTCGGGTCAGGTAGCCGCCTCTTGCTCGTGTCGCCTCCTGTCGCACCAGACTCTTCTGTGGCACCACCGCCTGGGTCACCCCTCCGTGCCTCGCCTTCGTGGCATGCACTCTCATCTTCTTGTCTCTGGCCTCCCTTGGTCTCTGCCTCCCCTGCCGCCCTCGCCTGCCCCGCCCTGCCTCCCTTGCGTCGAGGGGCGGCAGCGTGCCGCTCCTCACTCCTCCTGGTTTCCCCCGACGACTGCTCCCCTGCAGACTCTCCACATGGACGTGTGGGTTCCAGCCCGCGTTAGTGGACAGAGCCGCGAGCGCTACTTTCTGCTGGTAGTTGACGACTACACGCGGTACACCACTGTCTTCCCCTTGCGCAGCAAGGGTCGGGTCGTTGATGTCTTGATCCCTTGGATCCGCACAGTCCGTCTCCAGCTCCGCGAGCGGTTCAGCCAGGACCTTCCTGTCCTGCGTCTGCACTCTGACAGAGGTGGTGAGTTCTCCTCCAACCTCTTGAGGGAATTTTGTCGTGGGGAGGGCATTCTCCAGTCGTTCACGCTTCCGGACTCCCCTAAGCAAAATGGGATTGCTGAGCGCCGCATTGGCTTAGTCATGGAGGTCGCTCGTACCTCCATGATCCATGCGGCCGCTCCCCATTTTTGGTGGCCGTTTGCAGTCCGGTACACTGCGCATCAGCTCAACCTCTGGCCCCGTGTCTCCTTGCCGGAGACCTCGCCCACACTGCGTTGGATGGGGAAGGTTGGCGATGCGTCGATGTTCCGGGTCTGGGGTTCTTGTGCCTTAGTTCGCGATACGTCAGCGGTCAAGCTC